TTGAGGGGCCGCTAGGCCTGCTGGGGGAGGCATGCTTCTGCTGAGACTAGAAAGCTGCTGCGAGTCTGCGAGCTTGAACGGTTCGCTCCAGCACCTCCAGCACAGCTGAACCAGGTGAGGGTCCTCCTACATGCCTCCGTCAGGGGTGACTGTGTGAGCCATACCTGGCTATGCCCCTTGGCGTTTGAACCAGGAAGGACATCATCCTTCCAAGTTCCCTTGACATTAGGGCAAAAGCCTGCAATGATGCATCACTGAGGCTGATGGAGGAAGCCTCGGCTCTGCCCTCCGGCAGGGAAGCAGAGAGGGCAAACATGAGGTGAGCCAGGGAGTTGCCAATACGGCCGGCACACGCTCCGGCATTATAAGCCCTGGTGGGAAGGTCATCCGTGACCCGACACTGGGTCGAGGGAACCTGACAGCTGGCCGCAGTGCCTCCTCAGGAGACCCAATGAGGGGTGCGATGGTAGGCACTACAGCCGGCATACAATCAAGGCCAACTCTTGCATGGCCGCATCATGCATGCAGCCAGGGCTCGAGCGTCAGCTGAGAGACGGGAGTGAGCCCCAGTATCTCTCCCACAGGCATGTAACTCCCTCAGGTATTCCTCTGAGGAGGGAACAGCAAATGCGGTGGAGGCACGCCTGCGCCTGAAGAATGTGCTTCCTATTGAGGTATTTCCAGCTGCAGGTGATCGAGGACCATATGCATGGTGGCCTGCATGGAGCTGTCCCCACCCTCACTGAATGAGCTCTGAGTTGAGGAATGGGGTCCAGGGGTCACAAGTGGCATTGTGGTATACAGACTCAAACTGTGCTTGCGCAAAGGAATATTCAGTGCTTCAAGCACCGCCTCTGGCGGTCAGAAGGGATGAAATAGAACGCACATTTAGTGCAGGTGAGTTTGATCAGTGTGTGTAGAAACCTGACCAGAAACACCGACACACACCAGGAGTCTATCATGAAGACCTGATCCTGTTCCAGAGCCTCTGTATAGTCTATCATGAGGACCTGATCCTGTTCCAGAGCCTCTGTAGAGTCTAACAGCTGATCCTGGACTAGAGTCTAATGTGAAGAGCTGCCTTTGAGCTGGACCAAGTATCAAACATGTAACCAGTCATAAAGGAGGATGTAGTGGTGTCACACCTGCAGAGCAGAGTTCATGAAGCAGGTGTTGCCCAGGTTGGTAAGGCCACAGACTCCCGGCTGTCCTCGGTACGAGTCCTGCTCCTCCACAGAGTTCCTCCTGAAGAACCACAACAAGAACCACAACACAGATCATTATGATGGATATAGAACAGTTCATCCTGTTTAAGGTCGTCACAATACTCTTAACTTTAGATTCTGGTCCTGAATGCTCTGGATATGTTGGACCAGAGAAGGTAGGCGCTTTTAAGGCGACCCCCCCCACACGGCCGTTTTGGACGCCCCTCGGTTTGCCAGATATGAGAGCAGTTATCAGGTCAAACCAACAGGTGTTGCAGCGATGGAAGCGGGTCAAGAGAAGTGGTTCAGATAGAAGTGATTGTACCCGACCTAAAAAGCCTCTGCATGTTTCTAATAAGCTCCACGAGCAGAAACGTGCTCAAACTAGGATCAATATTGGAGATGCTTTTGAAAAATGGAGAGAGGTTAGAACACAGAAAGGTTTACAGACCCATGCAGAGCTGGATAAACACTGAAGCTTCAGAGTCCACCACATGGTGACCTGAGTGAGCATCGAGTCTAGAGGGGGGGGGGGGGGGGGCAGTTCTCTATGATGTTTAGAATTTGGACTGCAGTATCAATTTTAACCACTAGGGGTCATAGTTACATACTGCTTATTTAAACTGTAAGAGTATAATGATTTCATAAAAAGAGGCTGATCT